ATCCATAACAATGAAACTGTTGAAATTTAATTCTTCTGAGTAAGATTAAACTTGCGTGTGATATTAAACATTTGATTTTCCTCTTGTTCCAGTGGTATATCCAAGCAACGTGTGCAGTTCAAGGACAGGGTTTGTATGAAGGTCTGGACTGGCTATCCAATGAATTGTCAAAGAAGTAATGTGTATCGATGTATGTCTGTATATTTTATTTGATCTTTTTATATTACAGCTAGCTGCATATTGCAAAATCTCAAGTATAAGGTCTATTACTAAATTTTCAGTTTTGTTTTTGGAGATTTATGTTTTCTTTGTTTAAATATTTATTAGAGGTAATTACATTTTTGTTAAATCAGCATGTTTTGTATTCATTTCACTGAAATATTGCAAAAATAAAAGTCTGTAATCTAGTTGAAGACTTGTGGACCCTTATCTAGAAGTCATATTTTACGTAGTGGAGTACTCTTGTTCTACTTTATGAATGAATATATATATTTTTAAAACGAAGGTCTGTGTGATTTATCTTCAGGCTGAAGGCTGGCCATTTCAAAAATTATTTAATAGCAAAACTTGCGTTATCCTAGTGGAACATTGAACTTATTGTGATCAAACATCAAAGTGAGAATAGCTGTTCTCATATTGTTAATAACTTTAATGGTGCATTGGTACAACTCCAGTATAGATGGCTTCTAAGTTTACTGAAGATTTGTGTATTTTTTCACTGCACTTAAGGGAAAAGAATCCTAAAGATAAAAGAGTGTACCATAGCAAGACTTCCACATCAGTTGCAGCTGCAGTCCTACCCTTCCACCCCTAAACGTGTGATTGTGTGCATTTTGTTGAATGTTAAAAATAGTTGCGGGGATGAATGCCAATCCATAGTAGCGTAAGGCTATGTTCTCCTGAGACAACAACCGTATAGAATTACAGAAATTTTAATATAACATTTACTATGTATGGGGAGTGCTAACCTCCTGTATGATGTAGTTTGTATATTTTGGAATATAGATTTTTGGGTTACCTATACCAAGTGACACAATCAGCCCATTTGGTCTTAAGGCTTCTTGACCAGCTGGTGATCAACACTACGGAAAGAGTTGATGATACATCAATACATTCTAAGGCTTCAACATTGTTATGTACATATGCAGTATGGCGGCATTATGGTGTTTTCCTTTCTGTTGATCTTTGTGCTCACACTCCTGCAGGTTTTTTTGTTATTGAATTTCATTGTCCATGTTTCAGGTTATACTTGATAGAAAAAGGCAATGGATGCATTTTTTTCATAATATTAGCTTAAAACACAAGCCAGGTATGTGACTCTATCACTCATGTTATTTGTTATTTCTCTCTATCCAGCAAGATTTTATTTTTCTGTGACAGAATGTGTTCTAATTTATGTACTTGTGACCTCATTATTGGAAAAGCAGACAGCATCTGCTCCTTTAGTACATGGATCTTAGGAATATCACTGAGAATCAAAGTGATATGTTCTTCATTGAATATCTAAAAATTAAGCAGCCTGGGTTAGAAGACATTCCTTGTTACTTTATTCTTGTCTTTTGTCTTCTTATACATGAGAGGACAAAGATAGGTCATAGTTTGTAACTTCTTAATAAACATGTTTGACAACAGTGCTTGGTAAAAATCATTTTCCTTAGTTTTGAAGGTGATATTTTGTGTATTAAGGAATGATTAGTTCAGAGGTATTATCATATGGACAGCTGATAAAAAAACCCAAAATGTAAGTAAAATTCAGTTAAGATAGTGCTTTGGTGGACACTGCTGATTTTCAGACAACCTTAAAAAACAGTCAAAACATGAAATTACAAAAAGACATAACAAGGTATTTGATATCATGTTTACATGTGTTCATTTTCACTGAAATGTACTGCTGAGAGTAGATACATATCTTGGGTCAACGTATGTTAACTTGCCGAACACTACAAAACATATGTATTTGATAACTGAAAAGGCTGTAAATTTTAAAATGATGTGGAATATGTTTTATTGACAGTTATTGTTAAAGAATAAGAATATTTTAAAGGGCAACAACTCAGGAGTACTGCAATTATGAAATGGCCCACAAAGAAATAACATGACTTTACTGTTACTATTTCAACAAAGACTGTAAAATCAAAGTAGTTGTTTGTGGCTTACAATGTGCTTTTCAGGCTGTTTAAAGCTTTGTAGACATTCACATTGAAATAGCAAGTATGCAGACACCTTCGTTGTCACATACACACTACTGCTCTCAGTTCTGATTTTCTAAACAGTAAGAAAGGGCCATGTACTTATAGATATCTTAAGATTGAGAATCCTATTGGCTTCAGTAGTCCTTATCCCTACTTCCTCAGCTTCCTGTAGCATAATCCATGCTTGGGAGATATAAAATAACCGTGGATGCACCATACCAGTTACAGAAACCATAGACAATTGTAATCATATACATGTTATATCAGTATATACAGTATATAGAAATATGTTAAAGTACATACATGATAGGCTTGCCACAAAATATATTTATTATTGAACGGAAAGAAAGAACATTAATTAAATGATGAAAGTAAGCATCTTCAGTTTATGCCAGTATGCAAAGAAGAGAAAAATTAATAAATATTTTTTAGAAAACATATGACCAAGTAATGATAAGAGTAATATTTGTCTTTTATGTAATTCTCATGTCATTGAACTCAAGACGTCCAAGCTCCTTTCACATTTTATCGAAATCTGAACATTTTTCCAGGATCTTTTATTGTGATCATTCATTTTTTCTTAATTTTACATCATTTTATAGCTTAAAGTGATTAAAATGATTTGCAATATATATAATATATATATATATATATATATATAATATATATATATATATATATTATATATATATATATATATATATATATATATATATATATATACATATTTATTTATTTATTATTTATTTATTTATTATATATGTATATATATTATATATGTACATGTACATGTATATATGTATATATGTATATATGTATATATGTGTATATGTAAATGTGTATATGTGTATATGTGTATATGTGTATATGCGTATATGCGTGTATGCGTGTATGCGTGTATGCGTATATGCGTGTATGCGTATGCGTATATGTATATGTATATGTATATGTATATGTATATGTATTATATATATGTACATACACAAGCAATGATACTATTTGAAATATAGTTGTTAACGCTACGGAACTGTTGGTAGCCCTGATTTTCCAACTACTGGGTATATATGTATATAAACCACACGTATATCACGAATGAAAAGGCTATAAATTCGAAGGTAATTTATAATATGGTATAATTCTCTGTCACTAATCAATAAGCTTTCTTTAATATTTTAAAACGATGTTGCCAGATATTGCCATGACAGGTGCTTCTCGCACGCATTATTGCTATTATATTATCTATCAACTGTTATATTCCATAAACAAAAGGTTAATCAGATACTGGCAATGTGTTCGGTTATTATTTTGTGTTCCCTGCTGCCGAAACACTATTCAAGCGTCGAGGCACAGGCGCCACTAACTCGCCTGCCAAGGCACTGCCTCGCGCACATCGTAGTCGCTCCCATAATTGCAAGGCTTTATTTTCAGCTGCGACACGATTGCGAGTGTGGTGATCCCGCATGCATCTTGACATGGCCGCCCATACTTTTCTACTGAGTTGAGATCCGGAGATCTGGTGTGGATGTGGCCACAGCCGGATGTCACAATCCCATATACACAGTTGGTGTAAATGGGATTGTTTCAGGAAACACCATAGACCGACTGTGAAAACCTCAAGTATTTCTACATATCTGCTTCCAGTAAATATGAAGGGCCGACATCCAGCTCCTTAACGCCATTTGCATGCATCCATCCGAACAACCCAGCGGTGATTCGGTCACTCCTGCCCGCGCTGACATTCTCTGGTTCAAATTTGTTAAATGATAATACTGCATTAGACACATACATATAAAAATGTTTAAGAGTTCATTTATATTGAAACAAACCTTTTTCTTTAAAATATCGAGTGAGGGAAAGTTGAGAATAGGAGGACGGGATGGTGTCGTTTCCTACCTGGCGTTTCGTTGACAATGGAACCTTTAGAAGAAAATTTTGCAAAAGTTCAGTTTATCCCAGAAGGCCTTTGGCTTTTCTGAATATTGCAGGGCATATTCCATCCTTTACGGAATAAAATCACAATACATATAAATTCCAGAACAACTATTCGTTACATTACGAATCAGAACGAGACAATTCGAACTCCAATTACCCACTCTGTTCATTATTGATTGTTTCGACACGCCTCCTAACGATAGTTTTTTTTTTTTTTTTTATTTTTTTTTTTTTTTATTTTTTTTTTTTTTGTAGCTGTGCGTATATGTAACTGGCGGACGCGATCCACTCACTTCCCGATCTCCATACGGCTTGATCGAAAAGCATTTGTCAACAATAGACCTTCACCTTTGCTGATCGACAAGACTATAAACTTATGCGCCGTTAAAAAAAAAATCTAGCGCACATCTAATCTTGGCGCCGTGTAAAAATCATGGGGTGAATGTTTTTATCTTGGTCAGACGTGATAAATAGGCCTACACATTGTGGGGAACCCCGATCCCTTGCCCGTTGTTGTCGTGGGGGGGCTTAGGAGACGGGACTGGATCCAATGCTGGGATCTCCCTACCTTGGAACTCAGTCCTCGACTCAACTAATTTTGTATGTTTTTTTTCTCGCTCTTGCTCTTTCGTTTCTGTCCCTTCTCCAACCCCTTCTACTATCTACTTCCTAAGGTGTAAGAGCCGTGCTGAAAGGATGACTTTGTGCCAGCTCTGAACGGCCCGAGGGAACCATGGGCACGGCATTCCCCTGTTTAGTTGTCTAGCCCTTACCTCTCAAGGAGACCCTGAGGGATGGACTGTCTATTTCCGCAACATAGCCAAATCTTCCCCATGGCCAGTAATAAAGACGTAATACCTTATTCGGGGCAATGAGGCTTGCCCCTTCATCAAATAGCCCCACCAATTCAAACTCTCCCGGCTCCCCAACCCCAGGCTCTGCTTTGACCACGACTGCAACTACTACCCATCAGTGCCTGCTAGTCCACTATCCACCCAAGTCGAGACTCGATCTCCAGAAAATATCCTACTCTCCTACTTCCTCAACTTCATCAATTCTACCCTTGCAACCTTCTTCATCAATTACTCCATCCTACCTTATTGCTACCTTACAGCCTTATTCTCCATCTCTCCGTAATACTACCCCTTAACAATACTCCCTCTTCCACACGTCCCTTCCTTCTACCATCCCCAAACTCTACAAATATCTTAAATACTCTATTTAGCCCAGTCAGATGGAACACTTTTTCATGACCCCCCCCCAGCTCCTTACTCTGACAACACTCTTCTCTTTCAAAGATGAAATCCAAAGGCAAGTGGGCAGAGTCCCTTTCCGTACCCGAATCAATCGTTTCAGTCTCGTTACAGTTACATCTGAAACGGAAGCTACAGCATTATCAAACCTAACTGATCTTTCTGGCAACCCCATTCCTGCAGACCTCATCCAACTCTTAATACTTGTACCGGAACTGTCTCTTATCTCCCCAACAAACTGCCCTATGGATGCCGATTGGTCAGACTGTGATGACTTACTCGCCTGCCTCAAAGACCGTGATATGATATCAGCACAGTGCTACTCCATTCCTCCTTGAGGTCATCGAAAGAAACCGATCAACATTGCCAAAATTACTTTCCGGAGACATAACCTTCCCTTTCATATCTACATTGGCGGACAATCTCTCCTTGTTCGACCATACCAACCTCCTCCCCGTCAATGTCAAACCTGTTGGCGTTTTCATCATCCTGCCAAACACTGCTGCTCCACAGACCGATACCCCCTATGTGCCCAACCTGGTCACAACCGATCAAACTACTCTGCACAATCACGCACCTGTGCTGACTGCGGCGCCCCCCACAATGTATTTCAAAGAGGCTGTCCCACCTACAAGTTTGAGTCTGGGATGGCAACTCTCAGATACAAACTTTGTCTCACTCTGCGTGAAGCCAAACAGGAAGCGCGTCGACGAGGTTTCTCTCGTACTCCCAACTCTAGTAATGTCGCTCGCTCTGCTCCTCCCCCTCCCTCCCAAGGTGTTCCCGCACCCTCGTCTATACTACTTACTTCCCCACTTCAACTTCAAATTCTTTTGTCACTAAATCCAGACACTCCAATACAGCCCCACCACCTTCCCATCTCCTCCCCGCACTACCCGCAGCAGACAGACTAAACGTTCCACCCCTTCTTCCCCTACCGCACACTCACCCCCACCTACTATGCCTTTACTCATCAGACACCAGTCTCCTCTTCCCCCCTCATAAGAAAATCTTTGTCTCACAAAACTTTCTAACTAACTCCGCTGCATAAACTATGGAAAATATTCAAAACTATATGCCAGGCACAAAATAACATCGAAATCCCTCACCTACCCCCCCCCCCCCGCTCCCTCCACACTCAAAATGACTGCTGATGTCCATCCTCCTCCTACTCATATTCCTCCAACACCCCTTCTTCCACTTCCTCCCACCACAACCCATCCCTCAGCTTCAATTACACCTACATTAACCCTCCCT